AAGTACTTTTCAGTTTCCCATGGAAAAAAAAAAAAATCACCTCCAGATATCAAATAACTATTAACAGAGAATAAATTCACCAAGATATCGTGTCTGGTTTGTTAAATTGAAAAGATTCTCTCTTTGATACCATACATTTACAAAATTCTTCAGTGAAGCTGGGATTAATTTCACTCCATTAAATTCACTTACATGTTTAAATTTGAACTGGTTTCCCAAACTAGCCTTAATAGCTAAGGTAGGTCTACTTATAAAGTCGCTGAGTCGCTAAAGTAGTTTTCTGCTTTAGGAGACGATGACCTGAATGCTAAACTGCACTAGCTACACTAAAAGACTGCTCATTACTAAGCAATCTTACAGTGAGTGTTCAGGGATACCTTACCACATTATGAATAGTGTAGGCACTATGTAGATAGTATTTCTAATGTACCTCTTCTCTGTTAGACGCCATGTTTTCATGGTATATAGCATTTGGAAAATCGTTTTCCAGATTTTCATACTCAAATTTATCCTGAGCCTCTCCTGCTATGTTGTTTCTGTAGTTATCAACTGTGTGTCACTGTCGTGTTAAGGGGTGTAGCTGATTAACCATTATGGGTCTGGTTGGATTCAGGGTACTGAACTATCACAATCACAGATTTCACCAATAACGCATTAACCGTTAGGGGTCTTGTTAGATTCAGAACACTGAACTATCACGGTCATGGATTCACCAGTAACGTATAACCACCCTTACCCTAGTTGTACTTAATGAGAGCTATAAACAATGCAATCAAGTGTGATTTATTACAGCAACAGGTACACAGGTTCTTTGGATTGCCAGCGATAGTGACTGTCTGCAAAAGCAAGTTAGCGTACATGAAATACATAGGTGTTACAGGTGCACAGCCTAGAAATTAATGCATTAAAAGGATCAAAGACTCTAGAAAGATTTATAACCAAGTGTTCAAATCTCACCCAAAGGCATCCCAATAGGGGGAAGAGAGGCTCAGCCCATCAACTGGTCCCAGGAGTCAGGAGGTCCTAAGGATGTTGTATTCCCTCGGGATGGTATCTCCCCTGACGGTGGTATCTTCCCTAACATTCCCTCTCTCTTAGGCCAATTTATATTATTTTCTATCTTTTAGGTGGAGCTTGAGTGGCTCTAGTCAAGCATATCTTAGTTATGATTGGTGAAAAGTTCTCCCGTCTCCATTTAAAGTAATAGGCTCTGAGAAATTCAGAGCGCATGCTCAGTGAGGGGTGGTCGCACCTTGGAGGTGGGTAGCTTTTGGGACGGAGGTATGTTTTGGTATTATAATGATATTATAATGAGCAAAAGTACACTAGGGTACAGCATTTGTCAAAACATGACAGGTCTTTGGCTCAGGATGGCAAAAACTGCAGCTTATCGGTCTTGGTGTGTACAAGAACAGAGTCCCCACCTGGTCACAGAGCCTAGCCGTGGTGTCTTCACTCCACTCTATGCTCCGTACTGTTCCTTAGAGCTAGAACACCAGGTTTCCCCAGCACGATAGCATCTAAGGTTGGCATCCTAGGGAACACTCAGGTAATGCAGCTACGCCCTACCCTGAAAGCCTCTTCAATGCTGTACATTTTCTTTAAAATGTGAATGTTAGTTTTATTTTCCTAGTTACTTCAGGCAATTGCATCACAGTCACTAAAGTATGCATTTTTACTTTCAAAGCAAAGTAGCCATGATGTCAAAAGCATGCAGATGCACTGCTGAGAGGCACTGTTATAAACAGCATATGGAAAATAGCCAGTTTCTAAGAAGTAATTGTTAGAATTCCAAAATAATATCTGTTTTTCATAATGAAGTCTTTCATAGCAATGGAAAGAATACTGCTAACCCAGACATTATTGTAATCTACATGGACAGAAGCACATATGTGCATACTTGTCCTGTTTAAGCTTCTGGGTGGATGGTTATGAGAGGTCTTTGGGCGGGTATGTTTGCTTACTGAGTTACTATAGCCAGCATTCAAATACCTCCATATAACCATGTACATTTAGACAGATCTTTTGTACTGCTCAAGTCTGCAATTATGAAATTGACTAGCTTGGACCATGAGCTTACATATCATTCTAGCTAAAGAATGACATAAAGTAGCGAACTCAGAGGACATGGACAGTCAGATTAAATTCTGTAATTTAATCTGTAATTACTGCACTGGAAAAGGTTTGACTGAAATTGCTCTTCTGGGAACAGTCAATTTATTGTTTGTTTGTTTTCCTGATGAGTACGTATGGTAAACATTGTAAGCATTGTCCAAACTCTTGTCATAGCCATTTGACTGAAAATAGAATTACAAGTTCTACAGAATCTACCAATCCTCATCAGATACATTTTTAAAATATTTTTAAAGGGTAAGGAAAAGCGAAAGTATTTTAAAGGTTAAGGAAGAGGGAGAACCACTTCAATTTATCCTTTATTCAAGTGAGCAAAACAAATGCTTAGACTAGCTCTCAGCTACCTTATTTGGTACAGCAGGCTCAGTCTCGCAGTAAATTATTCTAAATCTGTTACTGAATAAAAGCAGAAACATAATCATCGTTTTGGTTCACATAACCCACTTCTCCACCCACCCTCCTTCAGTAACAGAGGAACTAAAAGGAGTCAGGAGCCATCATTTCGAAAGGCCCCGCCCCCCTGCAGGCACCCCCCATCTATCACTTCAGAAGCCACACCCTTCAGCAGTTCATGTGCTCTGCCTTGATTGGCCAGGTCAGCTGCCCATTAGCCCTTTCCCTCTGCCTGTTCAGGGGCTGCTATTTTTTTTCAGCTGTTATTTTATAGCAGGAAACGGCCTTATCAGTAAATGTAACTTTTTGTTTACTGGCTCTTGTGTTTTTGTACTCCTTGGGGGCTGTCTGATGGCCATTTCTTGATGTCATCATACCCATATGTACTCAGGCAACCCTGTGATTGTCTGGCTGGACCAACCACCCCTACCAGTGTAGCCAGAATAACTTTGGAAAAGGAAGCATCCTCTCACTGCGTACTGGAAGGCTGCCACTCTAACTAGAATTATTAGGTATAAGCCCATCCTAATTGGCTATACATAGAATCTAAGTACTGCTGCATGCATCTAATCTTTCATACAAAAGAAGGACGCCTAAAGTTGGGGCCACTGGCTCACAGTCACTAGTTTTGGTTTGTTTTAATTTACCTTTCAAATTATTATCAAAAGTATGTGGAAGTATGGAAATTAGTTCATCTTGTAGCTATTACTATTGAAGCCAAGTGAAGTTTCTTCACAAATCATTTTTCTCATGCTTTATATTTTTATGTCAATAAGAGCAAAAGATAAAATTACATGTTTTCCCCAGTAGATCTGATGAGATCGCTCTCAGAATCTCCTCCACATCAGTCACCTAAGTCTAATAGTGAATAACACGTCTTCAGAGAGTAGAGCACTCTAATAGCATGTAATAATCTTAAATAGATTATCACTGAATCTTCCATTTCTAAAACACTTTTGCTTACTGACAAGTGCTTCTAAAAATGAAATTACAGCAATTTTCTGGTCTGCTGTCCCTTTCCTCTTGAAAACATTTCATCAATCTTGCCAGACATAACCTGGAATATCATAGAAAGTCTAGGAAATTCCTGAAGAATGTTGAAGATAATTTTCCTGAAGATAATTGCCTTTTCTCCAAGTCCTCTCCAGAATCTGACTATTTCTACTATGTCATCAGCAAGTATGCATCGTGCGTTACTTAGAAAAATGAAAATGTTTGGGCATACCCTATAAATGAAAAATAAAATTGTGTTATGGCCTCACATAACCACTGAGATTTTTGGTGGGCTGTCTGTTTGATTCTGCTTTTTACGTTTGTTTTTTTGTTTGTTTGTTTGTTTGTTTTTTCTCCCAATGTTTTTGAATATCTTTTGTTTGCTTAGGAGCACAAACCATATCTAATCTCAGATAGTTTATTTCTAGCCATATACAAATGTCATGTATTCAGAGCTTTTCTCTGAAGGCGAAGTAAACCTGTGTGAAACCTAGAATTTGAGTTTCTGGTCACATTTCTATTTTATGGAAACTGATTAGCATGCCAAAGGAGGAGGAAAGAGAAATTATATTTAGTGCTCCATGAATACAAATGATGAACTTGTGTTGTCATTGAAAGCTAAATATGATAATCATAACTTGTTGGATTTCTGATCTTGCAAACATCATCAAATTTAAAGTGCAATTGTTTTATCGGTTTTTTTTGTTTGTTTGTTTGTTTTTTTAACAAAAATAAGTCAAAGTCTCTGAAAGTAATTCCAATATTGTGATATTTAATGCTTTCATTTACTCAATCAGGCATTTTACAGAACTATTTGTTATTCATGAGGTTTTTGTTTGTTTGTTTTATCTTAAGCATTTCTATAAATTTATGAAGGGAATCACATTCACATGTAAAAATATCCATTCTTGAATATTTTCCAGTGTTTTCCCTGCTAATTTTGAAATATATCAGAAGATTAATTCATATATAGTAAAATCACCATTTGCTTTCAAATACATAATTCAGTGTTTGCAAGCTGTTACTGTATATAAATAAGTTGAAAGACATACAACTCTGGGTGCAGATATACATATACAGTCATATAAACACGTTTTCATAGTATGTGTGAGTGTAAAAATATAGAGATACACATATCTAGTTATTTATACACTATATAAAAACAACTGCACACACACGTATGTATCCATTCATACACCGGAGGGATGCAAAAAAGCTTATTGTATTTGTATTTCAATTATAGTCTTTATTGACATTAAGCTAAATATCTTATTTTTTATTTGTTGATAAGGGATTTTACTCCATTTTTTCTCTAACATTTTGAAATACAAACCCAAGCTATGCTCTGAATTCATCATCATGCTTGGAAAGGACTGCAAGTGAAACAGAGCATTAGTACGCATTTCATGCCTTCAAGGCCCACTCACTGAAACAGACATCAACCTGTGTTACTATAAATTGGACATTCTCAAATTTTATGATTTTTTTTTTTTTGTGAGCTCCTTATACCATTACAGAAGTATGTTCTTCTAAAATCACTGACTACATCCTTTGCTGACAACATAATTATTACATTAATGACTACATAAACTTACGTCACTTCAGAATTTGTCTCTAAACAACATTGGGACTGACAGTGGCAAAACTCACTTAAATTTAATCAAGAACACTATTTATATTTTTCATACCACACATTTTCTTAGAACTTCCAGAACTCTGCAACTCCCAGATTTTGAATTTTATTGGCCCTTAACTTTGATTAAACTAAGATTTTATGGTGGAATTTATAGTTGGCTGTTGACATCACATGCCCATAAGAAAGACTGCTAAGAAAGAAGAGGAAGCAGTCCTTTTCTCAATTGAAGTGTTAGCAAACAAGTATTGCACTTGAGACTGAAAGAAGGTTGAAGTAAGGGGACGATGATTATAGATCAGACAAAAAAAAAAAAAAATAGAAGGCAGAAAGCTTTGGGGAGGGGTCATTAATTCCTTTTGGAAGTTGCTAAAAGCGAAGTTGCTGATCTGATAAAACCAAGAAGCAACCTGTTTTGCAAACCAGGATGCTTATATTTTACACAAAGTTGTATAAGAGCACTTGAAAAGAAAGAAGGTGATCATGGTAGATGTGGTTGTACAATGGCATGCAGACTTGGCAAATGTGCAACAAATCTCCAAATACAATGATAGAGTTACCCCATCCCCAGGAGTTTTTACAATAATGATACATAGCTGGACACAAAACACAACTCTCTAATACTTTGTAGGAGAGTCCCCTTTAAGTATTCAAAGGCCGTAATGAGGTCACCCCAGAGACTTCTCTTCTGTAGGCTGAACAGTTCCACCTCTCTCAGCCTTTCTTCATAGGAGAGGTGCTCCAGCCTCTTGATCATCTTCGTGGCCCTCCTCTGGACCTGTTCTGAGAGATCAACATACTGCTTCTGCTGGGAACTCCAAGCGGGGCCTCACAAGGGCAGAGCAGGGGGGCACAATCACCTCCCTCCACCTTCTGGCTACTCATCTATTGATGCAACCCAGGATGCAGTTATCCTTTGGGGCTGTAAGTGCACACTGCTGGCTCATGTTGAGCTTTTCATTCAACAATACCCCCAAGTCCTCTGCAGCATTGTTCTCAATGATTTCTTCTCCCAGTCCGTACTGATGTTTGAGATTTCCCCAGCATAGGTGCAGCACTTTGCACTGTTGAACCTCATCAGGTTCACATGGGTCCACTTCTCAAGTTTTTTCCAGGTCCCTTTGGGTGGCATCCCTTCCTTCTGTTGTATCAACTGCACCAGTCAGCTTGGTGTCATCTATAAACTTGCTGAGGGTGCACTGAATCCCATTGTCCATGTCATTGACAGAGGTATTAAACAGCACTGGTCCTAAGACAGACTCCTGAGGGACACCATTGGCCTCCACCTGGACATAGAGACATGAGGCAATAACTTATAAACTGAATGGTTGACCCATCGAATCCATCTATCTCCATTTCAGAGACCAGGATGACATGTGTCAGAAGCCTTGCAGACATCCATGTAGACGAAAATGGCCAGTCTTCTGAAAAATGGTCAGGACTCTTGAATATTGATTTTTTTCTCTGGGATAAGTTTCCTAAAAATATCAAACACAACAACAGATACTTAAAATGGCATACTTCCTTATTTTTGTTGTCTCCTCCTGTAGCACAGATGTTATTCACTAGTTAAACAATCTGTACTGATACAATGCACTGCAGACAACCTACATACATACACATGCACATTAAGCTTGATCTTGTGGGTGTATATGAGTAAATTTACAAACTCTAAATCAATTCTAGCAAATGGGACATGGGTGGCTGTGTTGGGTCTGTCTGGGATAGAGTCACCTTTCCCTGCAGCAGCCCACACAGTGCTGTGCTCTCCACTCATAGCTGGAACAGCACTGATATCACTCCAGTGTTGTGTCTATTGCTACGTAGTGCTGGCACAGCATCAGGACTCCTTCCAAGCCCCCAAGAGCCAGCAGGCTTGGGATGGGCAAGCGATGGGGAGGGAACATCACCAGGGCAGCTGACCTAAACCAATCAAAAGGATATTCCATAACAGCGGATGTTACACCCAGCATTAAAAAGGGGGGCTCTCGTGGGGGAGGGGGCTGTTCCTCCTGAACAACCACTACACATTTTGAGGTCCTGCTTCCCAGGACGTGGCTGAACATCGTTCATTGATGGGAAGTAGAGAATATTTTTTTTTCCTTCTCTCTGTGCTTCCACACAGACTTATTGTTTATTTTGTTTCTCTTTCTCCCCATTCCCTTTCCCTTTAATTAAACCTTTCTCATCTCAAACCTCGAGTTCTCTGTGTTGTATTTTCTCCCCCTTCCTCTTTGAGGAGAGGGGGAGCGAGAGAGCGGTTGTGGTGGAGCTCGGCTGCCCACCTGAGTAAAACCACCACAACAGCTCATCAGTAATGGAGTGCTAGGTGTATGCTCAAAGCCATGACCATGAAGGTCCCCACTGAAACCCCTCATGAGTTAATGACAGATCACACCATTGTAGCTCTGAGGTGGAACATTACTCAGAGGTGACTCCTTGAGGGTCAAAGCTTGTCTGTGGACAAACAAAAGTGGGAGAAGTTTGGAAATGCACAGCAAAGTTTAGAACCACCCACCCACTAAGTCTCTCCTGAACCTCGCCATTCTCAAATTTTTAATTAAGTTGCTGTTTCTATTGTAGTAAATTGTGTTGAAATCATTGTGCTAAATTAGCTGCTTAAATGTTGATTAAATGCTCTAAAGAATCATAAGAACTAATCTTGTAATTTACCATGCAAGTGTAAAATAAATCCTAAATTGCTGCTAACTCAAACTTGTGTAAAAAATCTATTAATGGCAATATACTGTAAACTTAAGAGATCAGCATATAGCTATTTAGAGAAATATGGACTTTCCCTTTATGTATTTCATTGTTAAACATATCAGCAAAATAATGTGTAGTGGGTTTACGTGGCAAGGTTTTGGTAGCAGGGGGCCATAGAGGTGGTTTCTGTGAGAAAGATCTAGAAGCCGCCCCATGTTTGGGAAGGGCCCCGTTGTTTTCCAGATCTGAGCCAATAAGCGATGTTGTTTTGCGCCTCTGTGAGAGCATATTTAAGACAGGGAAAAAAACGCTGCGCCACACAGCAGCTGGGAGAGTCAAGGGAGTGAGAAACAGCCTTGCAGGTGCCAAGGTCAGTGTAGAAGGAGGGGGAGAGGTGCTCCAGGCGCCGGAGCAGAAGTTCCCTGCGGCCTGTGGTGAGGACCATGGTGAAGCAGGATGTCCCCCTGCAGTCCATGGAGTACCACGGTGGAGCAGGGTTTCACGCTGCAGCCCGTGGAGGAGACCACGGTGGAGCAGGTGGCCCTGCACCGACGGAGGCTGCCGCCTGTGGAAGACCCCTGCCGGAGCAGATTCCGGGCCGGACCTGTAGCCCGTGGAGAGGAGACCACGCAGGAGCAGGTGACCTGGCAGGAGCTGCTGCCCGTAGGGGAGCCAGGTTGGAGCAGTTTTCTCCTGAGGGATGGACCCTGTGGTACGGACCCATATCTGGAGCAGTTCTGGAAGAGCTGCTGCCTGTGGGAAGCCCACGCCGGATCAGTCCATCAAGGACTGCATCCTGTGGGTGGGACCCCACAGCACAGGGGACGAGAGTGACCAAGAAGGAGCGGCAGAGAAGAAGTGCTGTAGACTGACCATAACCCCCATTCCCCCGTTCCCCTGCGCCGCTCGGGGGGAGGAGGTGGAAGAGGGTGGATGGGGGGGGTTAGGTGCTTTTGGTTTCTTTCCTTTGTTTCTCACTTCTCTAGCGTGTTAGTAATGAGCAATAAATCTTACTATCTGTCTTCTTATGCTGAGTCTGGTTTGCCCGTTACACTAATTGTTGCGTGAATTTCTCGTCCTTATCTCAATCCTTGAGCCCCTTTCACATATTTTCTCCCCATTCCTCTTTGAGGAGGGGGAGTGAGAGAGCGGCTGTGGTGGAGCTCGGCTGCCCACTCGAGCAGAACCACGACATAATGCCATGAAGAAAAAAAATATTTTTTTTTTTTAATTTTTATTTTTTTCCCCGTGCATCAATGATACAAAAAAAAAAAAAAAAAAAGTTTAAATAATAAAATGTTAAAAGTCATGGCTATTGGCATTAAGCCTGTGATGATTACAGGCAATATAATTTTGAATGCTGGTCTTATCTAAGATAAGACTTCTGCTAAGCCTCCTTCTTAAATTATGTATTTACTTATGCTGCCTGATATATATATATAGTTTTAGATATACACACGTACAGGTATATATATTTATTTACACAAGCACTAAAACACACAGATTTAATATAGACACATGATTTCTTTGGAGATACCCTTCTCTGTGGTCTTTTCTTTGTCTTTTCACTTCAGAGCTGTGAATTAGAGCTCATCATTTCTTCTTTTAAAATTTAGCAGCAAAGAAGAAAGAAAATAAAAGGGGGAATGTCTTTTTGTTCTTCACTTGTTTGTACTGTGTGCTGATTGATCATTTAATTAGTTAGTTGCACTAATTTAATTAGTTTAGCTGCACTAAGTGCTGGTTTTAAACTGCAATTGCTTTTTTGGTAGCAATGTAATCTTGTTAATGCTTACTTGTACATACTGTCCATCCAAAATTCCTCAAGAATTTGTTTAAATTGTGTCAACATTAAACTGCACCAAAAACCAGTAAAATGTTTGTTAAATGCTTATTTTTAGAAAGTGAACTTACATGAGGAAGTTACAGTAGTTATGTTTCTAAGTAAGGTCAAACACTCATAAAGCCTTTAAACAATAAGACAGACAGGGTTAAATTCCCAGGCACCCAGGGAAAACATTTTCCTTTCTTATATCTCTTATAAATAAATAAATTCTGCTGTTGCCACGTAATAAACTCTTACATGAGTTACTGACAAGAGCATTAATTACATTAACTCTTGTAAGCATTCAAACTCAAATCTTTATTCCCTCGACTGGGACTGTCAGGAAAAATGTTACAGTCAGATTGTTAAACATTTTGTTTAGGTGCTCTCTCTGCCATCTCTCCATTCAGCCATTTCTGTTCTTACCCAGTAGTCTGTTTGATCTGGAGATGGGCTAGCCAAGGGATTACTCACTGTGTTATAAATGAAGTCTCAACTCAATCTGAATGTAGTAATATTTATACTTATAAAAGGTATAAAAACTATAAAAGGTATAAAAGGCAAGTAAACAGCACTGGGTGTGTGGGGAGTCTACACTCCACCAACACGCACACACGAACATCAAACATTCTAAATAGACAGAACATTGCTTTTACATACTAAACCCGAGTATGCCTGTACAGTCAGAAAAGGTAACAAACAATCCTTTAACTTCCATGACTTAACGGTCTCCATTTTCCATTCCTTTTGAACTATATGTCTCGCTTTAAGCTGTCAAGCAACTCGGCTTCGGGCCTTATGAATCCCGTTCTTCCTGGATCGAAGAAAAGCATAACCATCTCCTTTCCAAGGGCCTGGGTCAAAAGGCACATCCAGGTCACCAGGGGGCGTAACAGCAAAGGCCTGCGATGGCTGTAGCGGGTGGGGGGGACGACACGATGGCGTAGCAGTCGGATCAGTAAAGGAGCACACAGCTCCCTCACTGTCTAGCAAACCACACGTTTGTGATTGTGGCCCCACAGGGCTCTTTAAGGCCTCAGAGACTGCTCGCCAGGTGCCAAGCAATCCCACTGCACCCTTGTCGTTTTTAGTTGCAGAGTCCCACATCTTGACCTCAGTTGGGTCCCATGTTTCAGGATCATAAACTGTCTGATTGTTAAGAAGGAGAATAAGCTGTAAGGTTACCAGGACAGTCTTTGTTTCTAAGGACGCGTGATTCCCCATGATGCGCAACTTACCAGCGAGGGGCAGTTGTGTGCGCGGCTCCTCTTCTCTCAGCTCGAGCTTCTCTCCAGCTCCAGTGCGCCTATTTCCAACGACTTTCTGTACGCGCTTCTCTGAGCGGTTTGCTGAGGTTGGCCGAACCTATCTTCATGAGGCAATCAAAATGCCTGTTCCCGTCCTGGTCTGCGTTCTGCTGGCCTGTTCCTTTTCATTCCTTCTTTCTACTTCTTTATTGATCATAACTTCATCACATCGTGTTGCCTTCTTTTTTATTTTTTTTTTTCTTGAGGACAGGCTCCCCCTCTTATACCCTTCTCCCCGCAGCAGTTCTTTTCAAAACAACTTTTCATTGGTCAAACAACTTTTCATAACACAACACAACAGCAAACACCCAGAAACTTCCATGCCTTAACGGCTGGAGAACAAGAAACCGGAGACTGCATGGAGTCTCCTGAATCACCCTTCTTTGTTCCCTCTAAACTCTTTTACATTCCTGATGGCCTCATCGTTAAGAGTCTAATGTTATCTCAACCACGGGCCACACTCCCAACCCCCATGGCCACACTCCAAAATCTCCTTCTTCTTTATTAATATCAACCATCTTCTCGACACGAATTACCACTCCATATATAACAAAACCTAAAAATAAATGGAAAAAGGGTAATAAGAAAATAATACAAAACGGTCTAACACAGATTGTAGATAAAGAGATAAGCAGAGAAATAAATGATTGGTAAAAAAAAAAAAAAAAAAAAAAAAAAAAAAAGCTAGAGAAGTAATTTTGGAAAAAGATGAAGGAAGAGCTGATAGAACTGATGTAGTTAATAGGGCTGATAGAGCATTGATGGTAGTGACGCAAAATAGGCCAGAGATAAAGGGAGGTTTAACAAGGAGAAATAAATATCTTTAATTTAAATGAAGATTTACTGAAACCAAGGAATTCGACTTAGTAAATATGGTCAGAAAGACTGTGCATTTATTCCTAAATAAGACAGCTGATCCCTTGCTTGAGATCAAGTGCAAACAACTGGCTTTTATTCTGACTTCTTAGGGCTAGTCTACTTTATGTCAGATTTCTCACAGAGAGGGATTTTTGGACAAGGTCAAAATGGAACCATTTAAGCAGCATGGATAATTAGGTCTGCATTGTTACACCTCACTGTTATTTAACAAGATATACTTCCCTAAGAGATGTGGAGGGGAAATAAAATGTTACAGGAAAAAAAAAAAAAAGCCAGGAAAATGGAAAGCCAAAAACAAAAATAAAGTTCAAAGGAAACCAATGAAGGCTTTTTAAAATGTTTTATGATTACACTACAGTTTGCTGCCATATGGTGAAACACATACATTTGTGTCTATTCTGACATTTGAATGTAAACTGGTAAAGGATAAAGCCAAGTTTCAACCAGATCATATTGCAGTACTAGTATCTTTCCACAACATCTGACTATCAGCTAAGACAGCTTTACTCTGTTGTCTGCCACCTTTTGTGATGCAGGGAGCTGAGGAAGATTGAGCTACTCTCTTTTATTCCATGTCTGGCTTCCTCTTATGCATTTTGTTCTGGTGGTACACTTAGCCCATGCAGCTCCATTTGTACCTGTAATCTGTAATGGATATTTGAAAAGATAAAAAGAGAAATGCCTGAACATCAGCCAGCCATTATATGAATAAGGCCAGTGATATCCAAAAAATCTCTGTGAAGCTGCAACATGCTAGGAAGGATGATGCATAATATCCATAAATGAAAAAGCAAGAATAGTTGATTTTGAATATTAAAAAAAAAAAAAAAAAAACAACAACAAAACCCCACAACCCTCAATCTTTTGGATTTGAACAGTTTGGAAGTATAAAAATGACAGTTTTTTTTTTTTATGTATATTTACCAAAGCCTCTTGGTGGCTATTTTTTAGGGTTTTAGCACCTTTCTCACTTGCTAGAAGGATCTGACAGATTCAGAACACCTAATCGTCAGGTTAGATTGTTACAGAGGATCACCCTGATTTTGAACAAAGCTTCACCTTATGAGACTGCAGAGAAAGAATGGAGTAACAGAGTTGTATAAGAAGCAGCTAACTGCTGACTGCTGTCATTATTTCAGATATACAGGCTGCTGCTTCTCCTAAAAGGCAAAGCTACCATCTCATCTCCCTTGTCTGCTGCTGTAGACAGATAGTCAAAGGAAACAGATGGGTCAAAATAGTTCCATCTGTTTCACTATCATAAACTTAAAAAAGATGTTCTAATTTTAGTGTAAGACTCATGACATTAATTCAAATGTAAGGAAAACTAAAAATAAAAAAAAAAATACTTTTCTAGCTTATCTTGTCTGAGTTCTTTGTGCACATCTAAATACAATGAGGTAAATGAAGCCATGATTTGATAGAGTATGCATTATATAGTATTGTTATTTTTTGCTGTCCTTTTGTTGAAGTTGCACAGCAATATCATATGCTTCATTCCTACTAAAACACAAATATACCATAAAACACAAATATACCATGACTTCAATTTAGGCACAGGAAAAAATATTTGTGTGAATACTAGAAAATGGAATAGAGATCTGAGGATTCCCCCAGAACTTTCAAAGCAGAGATGCAGCCAGTTATACTGATATTTTTCCACATGCGAGCCAGTTCATAACTAAAAGGAGAATATTCATGTATTTTGTTCACACTACACAAATAAAGGAACTTAAACTATCTTTATTAAAAGTAACTTTGGAAATTGAAGCAGAATGGAATTTAGCTTTGACATGGGCAGGTGACCCGTACATGCACTGGGAGATTGAGGACTGGAACAGTACAGCCAGTTTGGGTATATGGTTGTACTCAGCCTTGCTCTTCCTTCTGCATCTGCACCTGAGCCCTAGGCATATACTTGCAAAGATCAGGAAGCCTAAAAACTTTCATTTAAGTGGAAATTATGTCCTTCCATAAGCAAATAAATAAACAAACAAACAACAAGAACAAACAAACACTCATATCAGTGAATTCAGTGGCAAGGCATAAAATGAAAGGGAATCCCAGAGATGTGCAAATCATTGCTCTACTGGAGTTAGACAGAATTTCATGATGCATTTCAGTGACACTCAGATTTCATTCAAAGATCATTGCCACAGACTGGTCCATGGTGTCTCTGAACTCCCTAGGAACCTGGCGAGTGCAATTTACCTTATCTGAAGCACCTATCCTTGTGTATAACAGCAGACGGTTGGATCTATTATAAAAAACTGTGGTGTTTGTACTGCAGTTACCTGTGTGAGAAAGGAAGCTACTAAGTTGAATAACAAGTAGAAAACAATAATGTTTTTTTCTTTGTTTGCAAAGTATCTCCTTTACAATATGATTTATTCCCTGTTTTCTAATTATGGATTCTATGGATTGATCACACTTAATTTAATTTCATTAAGATATTGAATTAAAAATCCTTAGTATTTTTTCTCTTTATTATGATTATGAAAGCTTTTTAGACTTTTGTCTTTTATAGGTGTTTCAAGTAACAGCTAAATCAGCTAAATTGTACCAAAATGTCATACAGCAGCTGGCATTCTCATTTTGTAGATGGCTGGCACTAAGGAACTCCACAGATACAGCAAATGTCAGTCTCCCATTAAGAATGAGTCACATCATTCAAACTTTTATAATGCCAAACCCCAGTATGTCAATGGTTTTCAACAAGAATGATTTAATTGCCCATTTAACATAACTTCATTACTTGTAGAATCATAATATTATCCTTAAAAAAAAAAAAAAAAAAAAAAAAAAGGAAAGAAAAGAAAAGAAAAAAAAAATAAAGACCTTTCTCATGAATATTGTAAATGACTTTATAAGAATATCAGAAATTAAAGAACTCTATTGCAATATTGTCAAAATAACTTTTTGGTGGATAACAGAAAATTGTAAATTCAGAGGGGGCTCCAATAACAACAAACTCCTTTACAAGCATAGACACAAAATGAATGTGCTTGATATTTTATGAGCAGAAGTGACAGGCCATTTCCAAATTTCTGCTGTAGAAGTTCTTCAAGGAACCTCTTGGTTTTGAGTGTGAGGTCAAAACTGAACAAAGTCCTGATATGCATCTCCTTTTTCTAAATAAGCCATGGAACACAGACATCTTTGCACTACAAAAAAAAAAAAAAAAAAAATCATCCTTTTTGCAGTCAGACATAGATAAAAAATGATATATGTAATTATGTAGTTCTTTAACATGCAGTATTTTCACATACTTACAGCTTTCAATAAAGCTTCCTTCCAGCAAAAATTCTCCATGCTTAGTAAGATTTATTATTTGTTATTAATAACTCCCCTTCCTTTCTTCCATGGAATACATTAAGAAACAAAATATTAAAAGAAAAAAGACAAGTTCTGCTTTAAAAAGTCTTCCAGTGTCACTATATATAGCTACTAGTAGTAGAAATACATTTTTAACATTCATGGATTATCCTTAATATGATAAAACAAGCTTTCCATTTTCAATTTTTATATATTTCACAAAACTATATATATTTCATACATATATATAAAATATGTATTATATATATTTCTATTTATATATATTTCACAAATGTCTTGGATTTACATGGAATAATGTTTCTTACCTTCATACTTTGAAGACTGGCACAATAATTAAATATCCATCAAGTAAATTTCATACTTTTGGTTTGGCATTTAGAATGACTTTTTTTCTATTCATTTTTAGACAAGTATCAGTAGCTGTACATGTTATGAAAAGAAAACTGAGTTAAGACAAAGGAAAAAAAATGCAGAAAATTGCTCTGATCTTCCGTCAACTATTCAAAGTAAGTTTATATCTTTTTTGTAGACTGTCATGTATAGAGCTGTCTAAGTCAGTTTTTATAGATTCTTCTGATATTCTTCACAGCTGTTGACCCAAACCTTGTTCCCACTCAGTTTTTGTTAAAATTAAAATCACCTGTGTCAAGTTCTTTCTATAATCTTGAAAGATCTGGATCGCAAATCTTGTGACAATCAAAAGTGCAGCAGTTTTACAGATTATAACATAAAGCAGTGCAACATGGAAGAATGGTTATCTGATTTAATAGAAATAGTACATTTCATTCTGTTTTTGGCAACTTTTAAAAATTATCTTATTTTGCTAAATGTGTCATCTTGGAAAGTACCAGAATGATGATATTTCAAGATAGCATGACAGAATGAATGCTTGTAACACCACCATGAAAAAGAGAGATGTGAAAAACTAATTCAAGCTGACAAAACATTGAAAAAAATGACATTACATTTGCTAATCTTAAAATTTTCAGTTACTATCTAGAAACCATACAGTAAAAACTAGGTGACAAACTTAATTTTTCTATGTAGAATAGCTTATGATTTTTTTATTATTATTATTTTTATTTTTCATCATGTTACTAGTATTCTTGCCCTTCTGCTGTTGTGCATATATGCTGTGTTTGACTGCTGGTCATGTATTGTGTTTACATAGCAAGGTTTTGATAGTGGGGGGACATCCAAGGGTGGCCTCCATGTGAAGAGTCCAGTACCTGGCAGTAGCATGGATAGAGAATGCATACAGGAGAAGTCAATTTCCAAACAACTGCACTCCCTGTACAGGGTACAGTCCATTTGCAGACCTATATTGGAGCAGTTCTTAAAGAACTGCCATCTGTAGTGAGCTCATGTTGGAGCAGTTCAGGAATGTACTGTACCCATTGGTAGGGACCGCATGTTGAAGCAGGGGAAGAATGCGAGAATGAGGTAGTGGCAAAGTGTGTAAACTGATTGCAACCTTCATTTCCCATTTCCCATCCCCCTGCAGCACCTGGCAAGGGGAAGAGATAGAAGAATTGAGATGGAATTTGAGCCTGGAGATAAGGGGGCAAGGAGAAGGCGGGTTTAGTTTTGTTTTAATTCTCACTGTTTTGTGCTGTTATTAGTTGCAATGACAATTAAATACAATTGAAAATAACTTGTAATTCCCACTTAAAGTACATTGGTAGCAGATGGACTTAGATTTATATGTGGTCTTTGGCTCACACTCAGTTGGCATCACTTTGCATTATCCACATAGAACTTAGTGTAGAATAAACAATTTGGTACAGTGTACATAGTACAGTTCAAAATCACCTTCCCCTCTTCTCACAAGCTTGTTGTGGTGCAATTGCCTGAAGTAACTAGGAAAATAAAACTAACATTCATGTTTTAAAGAAAATGTATGGCTTTGAAGAGGCTTTCAGGGTAGGGTGTTGCTGCATTACCTAAGTGTTCCCTGGGCTTGCAACCTTAGATGCTATTGTGCTGGGGAAACCTGGTGTGCTAGCTCTAAGGAGCAGTATGGCCTATTACTTTAAATGGAGACAGGAGAACTTTTCACCAATCATAACTAAGATATACTTTACTAGAGTCACTCAAGCTCCACCTAAAAGACAGAAAATAATATAAATTGGCCTAAGAGAGAGGGGATGACAGGGGAGATACCATCCTGAGGGAATATACCATCCAGGGAATACACCATCCTGAGGACCTCCTGACCCCTGGGATCAGTCAAAGGGCTAAGCCCCTCTTCTCCCCTCCCCACATTGGGATGCCTTGGATGAGATTTGAACACTTGGTGATACTGTGTGTCTCCACAGAAACTTAGAAATCTCTAGAGTCTTTGTGCCTTTTAATGCATTAATTTCCAGGCTGTGCACCTGTGTCACCTGTGTAATTCATGCATGCTAGCTTGCTTTTGCAGACAGTAACTATCACCAGCAATCCAAAGAACCTGTGTACCTGTTGCTGTAATAATTTGCACTTGATTGCATTGTTCCTAGTTGTGACGGTTCTCATTAAACGCAGCTAGAGTAAGGGTGATTATACGTTATTGGTGAATCCGTGACCATGGTAGTTCAGTGCTCTGAATCCAACCAGACCCATAATGGTTAATCAGCTACACCCCTTATCGTGACACTTGTGTCTTGTTAAAAAACACTCTCCTCTTTGAAACCGTGTGACACTGCTCAGGAAGTTAAATAAAATGTTGCATGAATGAAAGAGATTTTGATGCAGGACACTATATTTAAAAAAAAAAAAAAAAAAAAAAAAAAAAAAGTAGGATGGTAGGTTTAGAACTGGAACATATTGGTGAATACTGGTCTAAATTTTCACCTTCAGAAGCTATGTACATTTTTGCATTTCTCTACAATGGGAACCGAGTCTTGGCAGCATGGAATATTTCTAAGGATTTTTGTTGTTGTTGTTGTTTGTTTAAATTTTGGTTTAGATTGTTTTTTTCCCTTTGAAGTGATTTTAATATTACATCCTAGGGGAAAAAAAAAGGCTACAAAACTATATAATTATCAAGTCTCTGTAGTCCTTCATCTTTAAGCAATTGTGACCTATTCTAGAGAAAGAATTGTAAGAAAATGAAATGAAAACCTTCCTACATATTAGAAAGGTACTTTGTCTTTCTGGACATTTTTTATTCTATTTTCTGATATCAAAATAATTGTTATAGCTTTGATTTTTAGAAATTATTATTAGACAATGCATATTCCTTTTTCAGAAGAAACATATATTTTTTTTTTCTGGGTATTATTACAATAACAGAGCTTTCTGGTACTTCAGAGGACCATTATCTATCTACTTGCACTTTGAGATACAGCTGAAATCTTCAGAGTTGACAGAGTTTATGATAAGTATAAAATAAAAAAAATAAATAAATGGTTGTGCCTGTTCCATTTTCCATGGGACAAATTGGTCCTTTGGCTAATTTAAGTAATTGATCCACTTAGAGTAATATTTTGATTTGGTTACTGATTAGTAGAAAATGCAGAGATCCTGATGCCCATATTAACATTAGAATAATTTGCTGATCAAGACAAGAGGAAAAATGTTTTAATCATATTAATTAGACTCATTCCATTATTTTATCTGACATAAATACCAATTAGCTATTTGGGAGATGACAGCTATCTTTAGTAGAGTTAAGTTCTCTAAGGATTTATGTTTTCCAAGGAGTTTCTCAGACACCGTCAGTGAGTGACTAGAATGCAGTTGTTTTGAGTGTTAATATCATTATAGGTGTATTAAACCAATATTTCCTCATCCACTATATGCATACATGTATATGACTTAATAGTGTAAACACTAGCTCAGACTAGTTAGTAACACAGTACTGTGGCATCTAGGTGAATTTTCACTGAAACATGTCATACAAAAGTAAAATTATATAGGATATAAAGTGCAGGTCAGTTATAGTTTTCCAGACAACCATGAAATGTTCCATTACAGTAGGAATCATCCTGCTAATAGAACAGGATGAAGGAGATCTGCTAAACTTAATCACTCAGATTCCTCCCAGGATTTTTTTTCCATTATTGATAGAAATGATGTTCCCAAATTATACAGTTATTTTGGAATTCATAGAGGATTCTTTCACTGAAGATCCTATTTTTAAATTTCCTTTTGTGACCTAACAAAGACACTTAATTGAGTACATTTATGATAAATTGTGTCATTTTGTTATGATGCCCCTTGCTCTGGCTAAGGCTATGGGTTATTCCCTTGTCTATAAAACCTCATATATCATAGACCTAATATATGTTATGCTTTACTTCTTATTTGCTGTATCCTGAACAGAAGATATGCCCAAACAAAAAAAAATAAATAACATAGCTATGAAATTCCTTCATTCAATACTATCATGGCAGAGCTAAATCAAAATTATAAAGCTGATACTATTATTATTATTATTAGCTGATCAAAACTATTAAAAAAGTAAGTGGTTTAAAAATATGTATATATTGTGTGATTACACTCTTTGCTGATGGTTGGTCTCTTCAATGGTGAGAAGGTAGCTAAAAACTTTTTTTTTTTTTTGCATTTCTCAATATATATTTTTAATCTCATCAACAGTGAGATATCTTTGACATCTGGTATGGTATGCATCAGATTATAATACATTCATTGAAAAACATGGCATGCTAGTCCATTTATTTAAGCTAGAATATACAAGAACCGGAAAATGGGATTTGAGACAAGTTTTATGTATTAACAAACTCTTTCCATTAAAAATAATAACAAAAAAAATGTTATTGCTTTATTGCTGTATTTGTAAATACAAACTACTTTAAAGGCCATAAGATCAACCACAATGGAAATGTGTTTAGTTTAGAGCTTAATAGAAAATCTGGATCTTATGTTTTTTGTTGTTGTTTGTTTGTTTGTTTGTTTTTTCCCTTGGTGATGCCTCTCGTAGCAAATTGGCAGTAATATTTTTTGACTTGACACTACTTCTACTTCTTGATTTTCAGCATCTAACGCAAGCTTATTTTCATTTCATTCAGTAGCCCTAGGGCAAACTGAAGCCTTACTACTGCTTGCAAAGACAGAAAACGAAGAGAACCTGTCCAATGGACTAATACTAACACTTTCCACTTCACTGAAATGCGTAGAGACTCTTGCTCCCTTAGGAATAGATGTTGTATAAGTAAGTACCACGTTGTTGTAATCCTTATTCTTGAATAAAATATGATCTGAGTATTACAAGACATTGGGAGTGGATAAAGGTAACATTAGGCTTGGTGGAGTCAGGAATGATGAAACACTGGAATGGCCTTTGTCTGAACAGAGCTCAGCACTGCAGAAAATAATAATAATAATAAAATTCCTTTGTCTTTAATTAGTAGAGATTTGGTTGTCTATGTTGTTAAAGCTTCCACCTTAGGTCTTGATTAAAATGTGACCCTATAAGTTCTATCTCTTTGTAACCAGTATTCTACCTAGCATTTATTTCTCAGTAATTGTCTTTTAATTAGTCTTTATAGGACAAGAGGAAATTAGTTGTAGCCATATGGCCCAAGCCCCAAGAAGGCAATGGAAGC